AGGGGCTCCTGGCATCGCTACTAGTAACAAGAAGCTACTAGGGGCTCAAAGCGGGATAGCAGCCCTAATAGCGATGGCCTCCAACCTACTAACAATGGCTGCCAACCTAGTAGCGATGGCCTCCGGTGTCCAACGTTCAAGCGGGAATAACCACATAAGAAAAGTGTTTGGTTCACTGATGTTTTACACTTTCTACTAAACACTTTCATACTAAACCATGTTTTACACTTTCGTTTGTAGGTTGGTGGTCGTGTCTCAGCCTCTCCTGCACCCAAGTGCACTACGCGCAAAGGTGGCCGCTCCAGCTTCGGGAGTGCCTCTCGCACCTGGAAGATGAGCTCGTTTTTCGAAAGATGAACGCCTTCCGTTTTCCTTTAGTTACTATAGTCACTGCTGTGTGTGCAAAAGAACAGGACAGAAAGAAGACATAAGACAGTACAGCTCTATTAAAGACATCCTTCTAAATTAGGTTGGAGGTCATCGCTAGTAGGTTGGAGGCCATTCCCATTAGTAACTTAAAAGAAGATCGTGTGATTTTTTTACATCCTTCTGGACGTAATGTCTATCTTCTGGTTGCCAATCCTCCTGGATCTTCTCCATGGCTTTGTCAATAGCCTTCCGAAAGGCCTCAAAACCTCACAAAGATGAGGGAACCACGAGCATGGTGGATGCGACACTTGGTTGTTCTCGCAGTGTTCTAGCGGATTTCACATAGTTCCCATTACAGTCATAGATATGCTAGGTCTTGGACTCGCTACTACCCATTACATGTGCACTGTTTGAAAAGACACTGGCTTTATACACTTTACAGTCTACTCATTTCCGCCTTTTGTTGTTTTTTCTGTGTGCACTGCGTTGTTCATCCCAAAGACGGAGGAAAAGCCATCGAGGACCTCGACAGCAAGCACGGTTGACGATCCGTGTGCACAACAGCTCAGTTGTGCAAGGCACTTTCAGTTTGTTTTCTCTCTCATGTACCATAAAGGTCCTTGATGTCTCTCTACTAGTGCATATTGTGCCAAATACTTTTTTGTGAGTAGTTTATGAATAACAAGCTTTGATTACAATCATGAGCTGTCTGTCGCAAAGCCGGGCAAACAAAGAATCAACATCGAGAATAGTTTCAGGACATTGCAGGAATATGGTCAAAAAGTATGTTGGGCAATGTGACCGAGAGTTTTGATGTTGGCCCAATGAATGTTGTTCTTTAAGCCTTCCGACCCCTTTTTCCAAAAAGGAAGCACCGGCGCAACACGTAGATATAGTTCTCTTGGTTGGATCCTCTACAGGCTCTCCGGCTTGGTTCCATCTGGGATGGTTTCACTGGTGGTTTTCATGGCGGTTTTGCTTCCTATCTCCCTAAAGGAACCTTAAAAAGAATGGCCGCCAACCTACTAGCGATGGCCTCCTTCTCTATTTTGTTCGGACATGGATCTTCACCATTTGGGCGTTGATCCAGTGGAACGGTTACCCAGTAAGAATGCTCCTAGTAGCGATGCCAGGAGCCCCTAGTAGCGTCCTTGCTCCTAGTAGTAAGGCCAGGAGTCCCTAGTAGCTTCTTGTTACTACTTGTAAGGCACTTGTTCCTAGTAGC